ACTACTGCTGCAATACTCTTCTAGGGGTTAATCCCCAAACCCTAACAAAGTGTGACTGGACACACAAGGAATTTGTCTCTGGTACATAAGTTCTCAATGTACATACAACAATAGTGACAGATCATTATCATAGTCATCGTAAAAATATATTCATCATAAAACATTAGATACAACACTTAGTGATAGTCATGGGATACTAAATAAGCAATCAACATAAATCATACTAGGATATAAGTAAACAGTATAAATTGTAAGATACAAGCAATGAAGTTATAGTCAAGAAGATAAGGAGATAGGCAATAAAGAAGATGAGAATAATGATCGTAATACTGCCTTACTAGATAGTTTGACAGTATTGTGGGAATTAGTTGTTTAACAGAGTGATGGCATGGGGGAAAAACTGGTCTTGTGTCTAGTTTTGCCCCATTTTACAACATTTTGTAAAAGTGAATCACTGCAGTTGTTAAATTAGTAACTTGGTTATTAAGTGAATCTGGCATCCCCTTGTTTGTCAGAAATTGCAAAATGTAATCACATGACCCTGGGACATAGCAACCACAATAAATGTGAACCAGTCGCCAAGCATCTGATTTTTGAATGCATGACCATGGGAATGCTGCAAAACTATGGAAAATGATCATAAGTCACTTTTTTTCAGTGCCATTGTAACTTTGAACAGTCACTAAATGAACTGTTGTAAGTCAAGGACTATTTTAGTGCCTCTGATAGTCCACCAAAACATTGATCTCTCTTCTCTCCTTGTTTTCAGGTGTCCCTTTTGAGTCATCAACATGAGAATGCCTTTTAAAGGATATGAATTGGTCCTTTTCTTTGTTCTAGCTGTGGTGCTGTTACCAGGTGCCTATGCTCCTGATTATCCGACCTTCTTGAGACAGCATTATGATAATCCAAAGAGCAACGTTGGAAACCGCTACTGTGACACCATGATGCAAAGACGGGGGATGACCAGGCCAGTCTGCAAGGACAAAAATTCCTTCATTCATGGCACTAAGAAAAACATCAATAAAGTGTGTGGTTCCGGAGGTGTGCCTTATGGTAATGGGCTTCGGCGTAGCCGTAACCGATTTTCGGTCACTACCTGCAAGCACAGAGGGGGCTCCAACCGTCCACCTTGTAGATACAGTGAAAACACTTCATCAAGATTGATTGTTGTGCGTTGTGCAGGTGGAAGACCTGTGCACTTTGATGAGAGCCAGATTTGAAGCAGCTGACTCAAGGGCTCAGCTTATTAGGACAGCCCCTTGCTTTCCCACTGAATAAGGAAACCCCTAGTTAGTCCTTATGGTTTTCTGCAGATTTGCAGTTATTATTTTCTTCTTCTGCATTTGTTGAATAGCCTTGCAATTTTCTTAGACTAAAAGAAAATTAAAAAATCAAGCACAACCAAATGCACCATTTAAGCTTGCAATATATACCCTAATGCTGTGTGATTCAAGGAAATTCAAATAAATAAATGTTGCATAAGATTTTATTGTGTGCAGTTTTATTTCATAAATATTGCTTTAATTGAGGAAATGAAGGGATTCCATGAGCATTACATGTATGAACTCATCTCTCACCTCACCTGAACAAAATAGAACAGAATAACAGAGTTGGAAGAACCTTGTCGATCATCTAGTCCAACCCCCCACCCAAGAAGGAGAACCGACACTATTTCTGACAGATGAAAGTTTAATCTCTTCTTGAATGCTTCCAGTAATGAAGCTCCCACAACTTCTGAAGGCAAACTGTTCCATTGGTTGATTGTTCTCACTGTCAGAAAATTTCTCCTTATTTCCAGGTTGAACCTCTCCTTGGCCAGTTTCCATCTATTATTCCGTGTTTGGCTTCAGGTGCTTTGGAAAATAGCTTGACCCCTTCCTCTTTGTGGCAGCCCCTCAAATATTGGAAGACTGCTATCATGTCTCCCCTGGTCCTTGTCTTCACTAGACTAGTCATGTCCAGTTCTTGCAACCAGTCTTCATATGTTTTAGCCTCCAGGCCCCTAATCATTTTTGTTGTTCTTATCTGCACTTTTTCTAGAGTCTCAACATCTTTTTAATAGTGTGGTGACCAAAACTGGACGAAGTATTTTAAGTATGGTCTTACTAAGGCTTTAAAAAGTGATATTAGTACCTCACATGATCCTTCTCTATGCATTTAACTACACACAGAGTTGCTAACTAAACAGCATCAATTTCCTAAAAATGTTTCACATGCAAGTATTTGCCCACAAGGTATTATGAATGAATGCTGTAACTACTGTTAACTAAAGCAGTAATAATATGAAGTTTAAAGCCAGAAAAAAGATCCATAGTTTTTTTTTCAAAAAACTTTTGTTCCTCAAATTAAAAGCGTAAAAGTTTGACTTTGAAATTTGATCAAAGTGCAGCACAATTTAATCTACAAGTTGAAATCTCAATTCTATTTGAATCCTAGAGTTTATTTATTTTATTTATTTATTTTCGTTTGTGTTTCGTTTGTCAAGCATGTATGAGAAAACAAGCATAAGTATGAACATAACATATAAACATATAAGTATAAACTGGTATAAGTATGTATAAATGGGAACAGTAAAACTATATATATATGTTTTCGTAGATTTTCATGGGTACAGGTATTCAGGTCTTGGCGTGTTCGGGTCTTTTCCCATGTAAGATTGAGAGTATCTTGGCAACGTTTTGATGAGGTCCCACTCACCATCTGCAGGCTGGTGCTTTCGGCTTCGTGCTTGTGCGAGCAAAGCGTGATCGGAGCTGCCATCTCCTTATATATACTGGTGGGGAGTTTGGCTGTGTTGTCATTTCTTGATTGGTTGATGGAGTTGAACTCAGG